GGGGGGGGGGGGGCGGTGTAAGTGTAATTTGTAAGTGTAATTTAGCTATCATCAGTAATTTTTAATCACTCATAATTTTTCAATCCAAATATAATTCATGTTAACAATTTGAGATTAACTATTGAGTTTCGATATTTTGCCGAGTACCTGATGACTGGGCGTGTTCCTAGTCACGAAGCAATGTTTTTTAATATTTTAAAAACATACACTGTCAACTGTAAAACATTTTCTAAATTGCATACAAGCTTTTAATAAACGTTTAGAAATACTTTCGTGTTTCTACAAGATTAAAGTGATTAAACAGAACAAAATATCACAGTTTCATAGCAAACCGCCTTGTTTATTTGCAGCAAAAGTGCAAAACCAAACAAAAATTACACGTCTACCTGTTAGGCTGCATGCTAGAGCTCATAGATTGAGTGAACGGCTGGATTCAATTAGCTTCAACCTTCGCCGAGGCTTTGTGCTTTCATCGATTTGATCCTTCACAATATTCCTTGCCCTTGGCTGTTCATGGCAAATAAATCGAAAAATTCACAAAATCAAAACAGTAAAAACAACATTGCCACTCGATTTTGCTGCACGTTCTGCGCCCGCTTATAATATTTCACAAGTTTTTATATATTAAAAGGGAATTTCGCGAGTTACACGAGGGTTTATCAACAGCTTGAATTGCATTTTACTCATTATTTTCATCGGTAATCTTCAAATTTTGACCACAAATTGTAAGTTTAGTAAATTTTTTATACTTTCCAATTTTTAAAAAAATCTTTACAGTGGAAATCTTGCAATACAATTTTCGCTTTTAAAAAAATCGCATTGTAAAGAATTTTATTAAATTTTCTCACGAATTACAGAACATGCTCTATTGCATATATGAAATAAAAAAGATAGGTCACCGACAATTTTGTAGCTAAACTAAGCAGGATTTAAACCTTCACCATGTTGCCATGGCAACAGTGACATTGTCAAAACCGATTTCTAAATATTCCACTGATGTTAGATATTGTCTCCAAGTAGAAAAGAACGCACA